AAATCACTTGATTTTGAAATGTTAAGAGGATAATGCCAGTGGTAGGATATTTTCTGTTCCCTGAGGAGCAAATTCTCACCTTCTCTGAGTATGTGCTGATATATCTATAAACAGATTTGGGCATAGGAGTCAGGGAGAGGATGCTTAGAGTTAGCCGCATACATCAGCCTTTACTTCATGCAAAAAAACGGTACCCTAGCTAATCTAGAATCAGGAAGGTGCCTGAATTTAAATATCCTATGAGCCCAGTCAATGATAAACTCTTGGTAGTGTACAGGCAATAGGATTTAAAGATAAAGAGTTGCTGGAGGTAGGGCATGAGCTCTGCTTTGATGATTGATTTAGTAATAACCCTGAATTTCACATTTTTCCTCCTAAACCTTCTTTATGGGCTGCCATATAATCTCTCATTTGAAATTCAATGTGGGCTGTATGCCCTCCTAAGTGATCAATCTGAGCTTGTAGGGAAACAATAGATTTCTGTAGATTTCTTTGTAAGTCCCATTTCAGTGATAAGAGCATTTGCTTCATTGTGTTTTCTGGGTTTTCAAGGCAGGCAATGCATCTAGTGTGCCTTTGTTCCCCTCCTCCTCACTTCAGCTCCCTGCTGTGTCAGCCCAGTGCTATGTTTTGCTTACCAGTACCTTGTTGCTTGAAGAAGTGAAAGGAGAAGGTGCTGCCTGCTTAGGTCTGTTTTTCCAGCTGGATTGGGTGCCTGACAGTGTACAGAGGTCTGACAGCATTTCAACACAGTCCTGCTTTGTCATATGTGAGAGCAGTGTCCGGCTTCTCGCTCTGCTGTCCCCTTGTATAGCGCCACTCACAGACATAAAGGAGAAGTCTGCAGGGACAGAGCTGTTTATTTTTCTTGTGGGAAATGTCGGACAACTGTCCAGCAGTAGAGCACTGTGTGCAGGCTATCTGAGAGAGCGGTCGAGAGCGCTGTAAGTTGCTGGATCCCACTAGATAGAGACACAGCACAGGGATCAGGCAGCCATTCCTTAATGCAGCCAAGCCACATCCTATGACCGTCTACTAACAGAGTTTTTATTGGGATGTATGATGGTTTGTTTTATGTCTGAAGCTGACTTGTGAGTTTTGAAGAGATTGGGTTGGCAATGTGTTCCATATGAATCCTGGGTCTCCCGTTAGAACTCACTGCCATTACAATAATGACAAAGAGTTATCTGCATATGGTTGTTTGATGTAAAACAATTTTTCTATGTTGCCTCATTTGCATTCTTGGACTCTTCTGACAATGTGGAGGGAGCGTATTGATAAAATAACGGACACTGATTTCTCAAATGAGTTGGAAGATTCACTCCAGGAACCCAATGAAAAAGAACAGAAAATAATAATTTAAAAAGAGCTGTAAACAGATTAGTAAATAGAGTTTTCTTATTGAAGCCAAGATTATGTATCCAATATAGAAATAAAAAAATGATTTTACAGAAAATAGCCAGAAATATTGTACAGTCAATGCACCAGATGTAAGCAGCTTTACTAGGCTGCAATTTAAAATGGAGAGGAAAATTTTGTCAAGAAATAAAAATTAGAGTCCATTATTTCAAACCATTAGCCAGAAATATTGTGCAGTAAATGTAAATACCTAAGCAGCCTAATTAGGCAGCTTTTTAAAAGGAGATTTTAGGCAAATTTGAATCAAGAAATCAAAATCAGAGTATTTTATTTTACACAAAAAGGCAGAATAATTGTTCAGACTTAATACAACTATGTAAATAACTTCAATAGGCAGATTTTAACCACTTGCCATCTGCCCTATAGCAGAAGTACTGCTACAGGGTACCACGGCTGCACAAAATCACTTGTGTATATATACGTGATTTGAATTTCCGTGCTGTCCTACCCGCGCCAATATTGGTGGCTGGGGATGTCAATCACTGGGTCCCAGCTGGCGATTCCCAGCCGCCACTTGGTGATCGTCAGCAAAGCTGACAGGAGAGAGACCTGTGTGTAAACAACACAGGTCTCTCGCCTATCAGCATGGAAATGCTGCTTTGCATCTCTCTGCACAGCACAGAAATACAAAGCAGCATGTCTCCTAAGTAAAACAGCACACAGCACATTATGTAAAACACACACAACACACAGTTAACCCTTTGATCAGTTCAGATGTTAACCCCTGGCTGCCCAGTGTCATTAGTACAGAGTCAGTGCTTTTTATTAGCACTGATCACTGTATTAGTGTTACTGGGGATGTCAGTGATAGTTAGCCAGTTCGCACCCAGTGTCAGAATGCTGCTGCAGTCCCACAGTCCCACTATAAGTCGCTGATCTCCGCCATTACTAGTATAGGGAACTGTTATTTTATACACTAGTTGTGGTTTGTTTACATCCATATACAGCCACTACCATAGAGGTCCCATTACAGACAAGTCCCTAGGTGTGCTTCCTGCCCCTACAAGGAGGTCAAGAAACCCCAGGATGTTATATAGTTTGTTTTCCAGGAAGTATCAGGCAGACGGTTCCAGCCTGCCATGTGCTGTGTATCTGGGGAGAACTGTATGGTGATTCTGTGAGTATTGATCCAGATTAACAAGGCTGTTATCTATGTAGTTGTTACTGAAGCAGATTAGGTCTGCCTCTGTTATATTTCAACTTCTGTATAGGAACCCTAACAACTCTGTAAGATAGAGATTTGTGGTTCATTATCATTATTCTATTTACACACTGCAGAATCCTTATAGTTGTCTATATATATATATGGATCAGTGTTTTCACCTGCATAAGACTGTCAGGTGAACTTTCTGTTAATTGCAGTGTATCTTTGCAGCCTCTTTGCTTGAAGAGCCTTATTGGTCTGGATCTCTCTTTAGCTAGGATTAGCATAGGGAGTGTTGGATAAGATTAGGCTAGAGGTATGTTAGGCATCCGACGGCCACTTAGACAGATAGAGGCCCGGTTGCAGTGACAGCCCAGTTTAGGGATAGGGACTAAGAGTAAGGCTAGATAGGGCATTTTATCCTTTTAGGTGATGCATCGCTGATCTTCAGACAAGCAGTGCAATCATCCGCATGTTACTTGGACGCCATCACAGCATCTAAAGTGGAAGTGTGCATCTTATTGACTCTCACCTCTCCAGGGGCCCCTGCAACCGGACAGCGCTATAACCCATGGTTGGAGGTATTCTGTATACTACATGCACGTATACCCAGGTATAATTGCAACCTCCCAATTTATGGTAAATTGTAATTCCTGGATGTTATTCTTATGTATCCTGTTTTATGTGGCTGCTTTATATAAACTTTGCATTAATCTCATACAGGTGTGGTGACATGTTTATCATGTTAGAAATATAAGCTGGGTGCATTAATACTGCTATGTATAGTTACTTTAAGTTGTCTACCTGTTACATTCCTAGAAAGGGGTGAGTCTCCTCAATTGCAGGATCCCTATTCTAGGTGGAGGCACTGCCATTTGCATTATCACAACCCCCTCTTCCATATAGCGAAGGCTCAGGATTGCCTACTCATATACAGGTTAGCGCCAAAGCTTGTTTGGTGTGGGCCATTTCACATAACCCCCCCCCCCCCCAAAACAGGGCTACACTAGTATTTAAAAAAAGTTAAAATTCCAGTATATATACCGCCATTTGTAGACACTATAACTTTCACATATATTATTATACAATTATTGGGATTTTTTTTAGCAAAGACATGTAGCAGGATAAATTTTTGCCTAAATTTATGAAGAAATGTAATTTTTTAATTTTTTTAATTATATATGTTTTATAGCAAAAAGTCAAATATATTGTTTTCTTTTCAAAATTCTTGGTCTTTTTTTTGTTTATAGCACAAAAAATAAAAAAACACACAGGTGATCAAATACTACCGAAATAAATCTCTATTTGTGGGAAAAAATGAAATAAATGTAATTTATGTACAGCATTGCATAACCACGCAATTGTCAGTTAAAATAACGCAAACAATGGCCTGGTCAGGAAGGGGGGGGGGGGGGATCCTCTGGAGGGCAAGTGGTTAATCTATATATACGATTAGAGTTTATTACTTCACATAAAAAAGTCATACAAAAAGTGCACAGTCTTTATGTACATTAACGTAAGTGGCTCTAGTTGGCCACAATTTGGAAGTGAAAGAGAGAATGGATAGGCTTAGTCAAGAAAAAGAAATAAAAACTGAGTGTACTATATCACAGAATAAAATCCACAACAATTGTACAGAGTTGATGCATACTAAACCAATTAAAAGGGGAGAAACCAGACAGGTTTTTATCTTGATGCAAGTGTGTTATTTCAGATACAATTGAGTATATCATTTCACAAGAAAAAGCCAAAAAACTTTTTAGAAACTTGATCCACACTATGCAAGCAGGTTTAGTAGGCCACAGTTTTAGAGGGAGAGACTAGGCTGATTTACTCAAGAAATATATATGGGTATATTATTTCACAGAAAAATGGCAGCAAAATTGTACAGATTCAATGTTTACTATATAGACAAATTGTACAGACTGGATGCACACTAATCTAGTGGACTGCAGTTTCAGATAGAGAGAATAGTCAAGTTATAATTAAGAAATGACAATTAGAGTGCATTTTTTCAAAGAAAAATCATGAATATTGTACAGATTTGATGCAGAGTTTGCAATCAGCTTCAGAAAGTCGCATTTTTAGAGGTAGAGACTAGGTGGGTTTAATCAAGAAATCAAAATTAGAGTGTAATATTTCATAGGAAATAGTCACAAAAAATTGCAGATTCAATGAACAGTGGTTTTAATTGACCGAAGTTCAAAGGGAGAGACTTCTCAAGTAAGAAAAAAAATCCACCAAAAAATCCTAATGTTGATGCATGCTATGTAAGCAGCTTTAGTAGACTGCAGTGTCAGAGAGGCACTAAACAGAAGATTCCCTAAATTTATCAGACAGTTTGGCAATAGGGGCATTGGAGATTTGGTGCTTTGGTGCACTAAACAATGTGGTGATTTGTGACCTGTTCAGTTAATTTTGGTGCTGCTGAAACTAGAGGTGAAAGCCAGGGGCGGACTGACAACTCATGGGGCCCCCGGGCAATAGGGGATCATGGGGCTCCTGTGTCCTTGCCCAAATTCAAAAGAGCCTATGAAAAAGGTACCAGGGGCATCTCATGGGGCCCTCTACTGACCCCGGGCCCTCAGGCAGTGCCCGAGTTTCCAAATGGTCAGTCTGCCCCTGGTGAAAGCATATCTTTATGTCCCAGAGTATGGGGTGACTATGATTAAGCCCTGGTGGGAAGGGGGAAATACATCAGGATGCGTAGTTTGATAGAATCATGTAGGCCGAGGCCTCTCCTTTTCTTTTATTCACCTGGCATGGTCAGGAGTAGCGGTGATCCTTACCTCTCTACATTTATTAGCCCTCTGAACCAATGTGGCCAGTTGGTCTTCAAGTATGTATTAATGTGATGCAAAGGGATTGCTTGTGTCAGGATCAAGTTTATTTTGTTGCCTCCATAATACATAAAATATCCTAGATAAAGTATATTAAAATAAAATAAAACCTAAAACACTAACCCTCAACACTAAAACTAAACCCCAAATCTACTCCAGGTCTCCTCCAGACACTGACCATGTGTATGGCTGATTGCAAATATAGCACTGTTCAGTAGCACTGTATAGTATAACAGCAACTACCCTTTCCAGCAAGCACTCTGTAATATCTTTCAATCTATTCCAGGACCTTCCAAAAACAATGACAAAAGGCTTTTGGGATCCATGACTGTAATGGGAAGGGGACTGTAACATAACAAAACATAATGAATGCCATTTTATTGGCTCTTCTAAGCCACCTGATTAAAGTTTGGAGTTTTAGAGTTTTGCCAGGAAGTACATTATTGGTAATTGGTTGCAATAATGATGAAAGGACACATTAGTTCCCCATTTTCACATATTGTATTTATTGTTTCTATACTGTCCTGTTGCTCCAATCCACTGTAACCTGCCCATGACGTTTTCAGATTTGCTGAGAAATCTGAAACTTATGTATGACTATGTCCCCATGTGATGGTGCTCAGGCACTACGAGCTACATTGCATGGAGGCAGAGAGAGAAACTACTGACTGCTTAAAGTAGTTAAAGAAGAGTGGGAACAGAAAAAGGGGTTTCTATTTGCCTAGCTAATGAAAAAGGATATTTTATCTATTAGGAGTCACTAAAACCCAAAAGATGTATAAGATCAGTGGAGGTAAATATTTAATATATTTTACTTGGGTTGTCACCAGGGGCGGACTGACAACTCATAGGGCCTGCAGTAGGGGATCATGGGGCCCCTGTGTCCTTGCCCACACTAACACCACACCCAAAAAAAGCCTATGAAAGGTACCAGGGACATCTCATGGGGCCCCCTACTGACCCTGGGCTCTCGGGCAGTGACCGAGTACCTGAATGGTCACTCCGCCCCTGGTTGTCACACATTTGCATTAATAAGCCTGACTGTGTAAACCTTTCTTTACTAAATATTTTAGAGTAGCACAAGTATGCAAGTAGTACATTTGAGTGTAAAAAAATGCTGAGTGGCTTTGGAAAAACTGTTGGAAAGGAAAAAACCTGGATATGTACAGTACATATTGGGGCTGAAATGCAACCTGAATCAGTGTTTTCTCTTATTTAGAACAGCTGTGGGTTTTGACACTATTTGTGTTTTTCACATAGAAGGTAGTTACAAAGAAATCTTAAGGGAAGCAAAAGAGTGTGTATTTATACAAAATAATTCACATAGTGAAAGTGCATGTACATTTGTTCTGTGCAAAAAAATTTAATTTAGGCTATGCAATGTGCTGATCAAATGTTTTTCATTGATTTTAAATACAAGTCAATCAACATTTAAACATAAATCAACAAAACACTATGCACTAGCACATGCCCCATTCACACAGAACAAATGTACTTTCACTGGAAGAACTGCTATATGATTTTTTAGAAAATACACCCCGAAGTGTTATAGTCAAATTACTGAAAAGGTTTTTTCAGCAAGATATTGCATAAGACTTTACACTTATCAATACTTTATCCACTTTATACATATTTAATGGAAAAAGAGCTTACCCAGTTTTTGCAAAGTTTGCCCAGTATCTCATTATGTTTTTGCTCAAAATTTCTTCCTCTTTTGTATAATTAAGTCTTCTGTACATTGGGATTCCAAACACAAATTCAATCTCATACCCATGCATTACTCCCATCCAACTTGGCCATGCCATCTTGGAAGATCTGTGACTGAAGAAGTACAAATAAGCTTTGTTTCCAAGCTCAGAATTTCTGTTTGTGAATTCCAGAAGTGGACATATGAAATTGTAATCTCCCACAATATCATCCATGGCATCCCGATTGTGAATGGGATTCTGTTCATCTTCCCAGTTTGTGTAATGAAAAAGAATAGAGTCTATTGCAAGTTCAGTGGCTTTCGGAAAAGCCCGTTTTACATTGTCTTGGAATTGAGTCTGATTTATAAAACTTTCATGATCCTTGCTAAATCCAGGTAGATAATACACTAAAAAATATGATCCCTCATCTTTATTAACACCTGTTAAAATTTGTGTATTCTTTTTAAGCTGTCCAAGTTGCAACAAATGTTTAGGTAAATCGATAAGAAAATCTCCATCAACTGTTGGAGGAAAATTAATTTCTATTAATGATCTCTGTGTTAAAACAGAAGAGGTCTTTTCAATCATTTCTTGAGGAGTCTTACTCCGAAGACAAGCAATTATTTCAGTTTCATTTCTGAAGGAACAGCCTAATAGGTTTGCTAATGTAAGTGCTCGAGTGCGGGCTTCTGTACTACCGACAACTCCCCAAGGGACATTAGCACTCCCACTTTGCATAATAGCTCTTGTGAAATAGGGATGACTTTTAGGAGAAAGCAGGTGAAAGCTAGCTGATGCTGCTCCAGCACTTTCTCCAAAAAGTGTTATGCTTTTGGGGTTCCCACCAAATGCTGCAATATTCTCGTAGATCCACTTGAGAGCCATTCTTTGATCAAACAAACCAACATTCCCTGGAGCTTCAAAATTACCTGGGAAAGCCAGAAATCCAAATGAACCTGTTCTGTAGTTAAATGACACAACAATGACACGTTCATTGCGGGCCAGTAACTTCCCATCATAAATATCTAAAGAGGCTGTTCCAGTTTCACCACCACCATATATCCATACCATGACACTGGCATTTTTTGGCTTTGGACTAGGTATCCATATATTGAGGTAAAGACAGTCTTCACTGAGTTCAGTGTTAGGATTCCACATTTCAGCACCAGAAAAACCAGGGAATGTTTGGTCAGAACGCTGATAACAAGAATTTCCATATTTTGTGGCATTCCATACTGCAGTCCAAGATTTGATGGGTTCTGGTCTTTTAAATCTCAATGCTCCAACTGGGGGTTCTGCATAAGGTATTCCAAGGAATGCTGTGATTGTTTTAGAAAACACTGGTATCTGAATCCCTCTTATTTTGCCATCTTTGGTCAGAATAACGTCATCATCTTCACAATGGACACTTGTGCAAAACACATATATTATAGTCAAGAAGATTGCAGAGAATTTCTGTGAGAGATTGTACCACATCACTGATAACTACAACACATAAAACAAATTGTTATAGATTTGTATGCATGCATGGCATTGATGACATATTCTGGCACGCAGAATACAACAAAATCCAAAACCTGTGCGCACTCTGAATATTTAACAAATCTCTATGAATAGATGTTTAACAAATCTCTTTTTTGTGGACAATGTCCCACCAAATGTTACATAGTTACATAGATTGAAAAAAGAAACATTCAAACACCAAGTTAAACCAATAGAAAAATATATAAATTATTTGAAAATGTGCATACACAGAACTCTAAACCCACAGTTAATCCGAAGAAGAAAACTCACAAAGTGTGGTCCAGTTTTATCCAACAGGAAAAAAATACCTTCAGATCCCCTAAGCTAATTGGATACTCCCTGGATTAACAAGCTATAGTGTTTTTACATTTATATTAAATAAATATGTTTTTAAAGAAATCTACAGAGTTGGTCAGAACAAGCTTGTGGGGGTTTGTCATTTAAACCTGTGCTTACTTCTTTGCAGCATATATGGTAAGACAAATTAAAAAATTAAAGTTAAACATATTTTTCCCAAACAGAGCTAAAACAAGATATATATTACAGTTTAAATAGTATCACACCTTCGATTATCAGGGCTAATATTAGAACTATCTGTACTACTCTGTAATAGATATATTCAAGAATCCTCTCCTTTCCCAGGGTAATCTTATGACTGAAAGCTACACAGCTAGGCAACAGAAGCAATTCTTATAACAGTTACGGATGTTCAGTATTGTTCATTTTAACATATGTTTTAATCAAGATAGTGTGTGTTTAACCGCTTTCCCTCCATCCTATAGTAAAACTACTGCTACAGGGCAGAAGGGCTGTGCAAAATCACGTATATATACAGTACTTGATCTGCATTTTCGGGTAGGGAGCACAAGCGCGCCGCCATACCCATGTTGCCATTGACGGCTAGACATGTCAAGCACTGGGTCCCATCCAGAGATTCCCCGTCGGCACCCAGCCATCGCCATGCAAACTTGACAGAGGACAGACGTGTGTAAACAACACAGGTCTTTCTCTTGCTAGCAAGAACATGCTGTTTTGTATTTCTCTGCACAGCACAGCAAAGAAATACAAAACTGCAGGTCACCAAGGTAAAACAGCACACAGTTAACCCTTTGATCGCCAAACGTTAACCCCTTCCTGCCCAGTGTCCATAATACAGTGTCAGTGCTTTTTATTAGCATTGATCACTGTATTAGTGTCACTGGGGATGTCAGTGGCAGATACTCAGTTTGCACCCAGTGTCAAAATGCCCGCCACAGTCCCGCTGTCTTGCTATAAGTTGCTGGTCACCACCATTACTAGTATAAAAAAAAAATAAAATAATAATTCCAATATATATGCCATCATTTGTAGATGCTATAACTTTCATGCAAAGTTAGTCACAAATTTAGTCAAATGTATTCTGCTACATGTCTTTGGTAAAAAAAAAAATCCCAATAAGTGTATATTGATTGATTTGTGTAAAAGTTATAGCATCTACAAACTATGGTATAGATACTGTAATTTATGCCATTTTTTTTACAGCGCTGAGCTAGTTTAACTGACAAGTGTGCGGTCATACAATTCTGTACATAAATTAAATTTATGTCT